CATTAGCCATAACAACAGCAACAGGGACAGCAGTAATGCCAACAGTAACAGCCACAACAGCAACAGTGACAGTAGCAACAAGAACAATAGCAGCAGCAATAGTGACAACAGCAACAAGAAGAGTAACAGCAACAGCAACAGTAATAGCAGCAGCAAGAGCAGTAACTACAGTAACAGCGACAGTTACAGCGACAGCAACAACAGCAGCAGTGAGAGCAGCAATAGAAACAGTGACAGCAGCAACAAGAACAGAAACTGCATCACCAGTGACAAAAGCAACAGGAACAGTAACTGTAGCAGCAACAGAAACAGCAGCAGTAAAAACAGTAACAGCAGCAATAGCAACAGTAGCAGTACCAAGAGTACCTGCAGCAACAACAGTAAGTTCTGCAACAACAGCAGCAGCAGTAAGAGCAACAGTAAGAGCAGCAATAGCAACAGTAAGAGCAGCAGCAATGACAGAATCAATAGCAACAATGGCAGCAGTAACAGTGATAGCATCAACAGAAACAGTAACATCAACAGTAACAGAAGTAACTGCAATAGTTCCAGCAGCAGCAAGAATAATAACAGCAGCAACAATGATGGCAGCAACAAGAGCAGTGACAGCAGCAGCAGCAACAGTGAGAGTAGCAACAGCAACTACAGTAGAAACAGCAGCAGCAGCAAGAACAGTAATGGCATTACCAGTAACAGCAGCAACAGTGACAGCAGCAACAGCAGAAATAGCAGCAGCAGTGTCAGCAACAGTACCAGCATCAACAACAGCAACAGTGTCAACAGCAGTAACAACAACCACAACATTGAAAGAAGTACCAACGTCAACAGTGGCAATAATACCAGCATTGAGAGCAGCAGTGTCAGCAACAGCATAGACAACAGCAGTAACCACAACAGCAGTAACACCAACAACTGCATTGATAGCAGTGCCAACACTGATGGTAACAGCAGCAGCAATAGTAAAAACAATAGCAGGAGGAGTTGCAAAAATGGCAAAGACAGCATCTGCAGCATCATCATCAACAGCAGCAGCAATGATAGTAGTGATAACAACAGGGACAGCAGCAGCACCATCAATAGTAGCACCAGTGGCAGTGTCACCAGAGAAAGCAACGATCACAGCCCTAAGGACAGTAGCAACAGCAACAATAAGAGCAACAGAACTGATGGTAGCATGAAGAACACTAGGAGCAGCACTGACAACAATAACAGTACCAGTGACCACAGGAATGACCACAGCAAAAGAAGCAAGGATGGCAACAACAGCGCTACAAAAGATGACAGCCACAGCAACAATAATAGCAGCAACATTAAGAACACCATAAACAATAGCCACTGCATAAAATGTCACAGCAGCTTCAGCAACAGTAGAAGCAACATTAACGTGAGTGACAGCAGCAACAATAGCAGCATAAAGAGCAGCTATAACAACAAAAAGGAAAATAATAGCAACAAACACATTAATGTCAACTGTAACTGCAACAACAGTAACAGCAGCAACAAGAATAATTACTACAGTAACAGTAACAACAGTAACAGCAGCAGTAAGAGCAGCAACAGAACCAGTAACAGCAGCAGCAATAAAAATAATAACTGCAGCAACAGTAACAGTGACAGCAGCAACAGCAACAGTGATAGCAGCAGCAAAAACAGCAACTGCAGCAACAGTAACAGTGACAGCAGCAGCAAGACGAGTAACTGCAGTAATAGTGACAGTTACTGTGACAGTGACAACAGCAACAGTGACAGCAGCAGCAAGAACAGAAACAGCAGCAACAGCAACAGAATCAACAGCAACGATGACATTAGCCATAACAACAGCAACAGGGACAGCAGTAATGCCAA